CACTTAATAGTTCTGAATGAAGATGGTCTGATCTTGTGGCATAGAATTGATGAATACATGCTGGGAAAGATGGAAGGAAAAAGATGAAGAGGACAAAGTAGGTGGACTCAATTCCAGTGGCAATGGGGGCACCATTGGAAGACTGAAGGGCCAGGTCCAGGAGAAAATCTATCTGTGTGTTTGCTAAGAGTCAACTTGATGGCACATATTCAATCAATCAACCATTAAAGTCTGGCAAAAAGGATGCATCTTTGCAGATTTCCTGAGCAGAGAGAGTGGAGGTGAAACAAAACTTCTAAGGAAACGCATCCCTTCGCGTATTGGAAGACGATTGTTACGTCTCCCCTCATCCTTCTCTTCTTTAGGCTAAACATATCCAGTTCTTTCAACTGTTCTCCCTAAGATTTCCCCTCCAAGCCCCTCAGCATCTTCACTGCTCTTCTCTGCACTCTTTCTGGTACCCCAGCATAGAGACGTTGAAAAAAACCATTTCCTCAACATTTTTATTCCAGAAAGCATGTGAGTTACTGTACATTCTTTAGAACCCCTTTTCCAAATCCAGGGTCCTTCCCTGGGCTGGGGTCTTGACTTCCCGAATTCCCAGCCAGCACAGCCTCTAGCTGGGACATTGCAAAAGCAAAGCCCTATCAGCTCGATCAGGCATCAGCTGGGGAAAACTAGTTTATAGCTACACAGGAAGTTTTGCTGGAGACTTTTTACGTGCTGCTATTTTTAAATGGCTGCTGGACTAAATGCTTTATTTTGTTTAAACTGATTGCTCCTTTTAATGAAATACTTATTTTAGGCTGCGCGCGTTGCTATTTGGGATGACGGTTTATTCTGCGGTCCATGGCAAGGCATTATTTATGAATGGGATATCACGTTCACTGTTCTGACATCGGCTTCAGCATTAACACAAACAATAACAAACCCCTGATAACAAGCTCTCATTTGGTGCAGAATACGTCATATTATTCCATCTCAGTTGTAACAACGCTGTTATTCTCAAAGTGAATAAACAGTGCTAGCTTCCAAGGAGCAAAAATATTTGGACATTTCACTAGGTAATAAAATGCCTGTTTCTTAGGAACAGAAAGACAACTGAATTTTTGTGTTTAAATACTTCCATGTTGCCTTACCCGCTACTCATTCAAAAAAGCTGAATTCCTAAAATGCTTATTAATGCAATGAAGTCCTAGTCGATGGACACTGGGTTAAAAACAACAATTCTGGGGGACGGGGGGGGCGGAGTGTGGAATGGGACTTTTGCACTTCATGTCACCGTGTGCTATTTTTCAGGAACCAGAGAACTCACTTGTAAAACTGGAGATGGTGGAATGGCTCTGAAGCGTGCCGGAGGGACTTGGGGAGGACTCATCATCGGTGTCGTCGCTGTCAAAAGGGACAAGTTCCCGGCCGGTGCTGTCCACTGGCTCCGAGATCTCCAGAGAAGAGCCCGAAATGGAGATATGCAAACATGGTTGAGGTGCAGCCTCATCCAGGGTGGGATTAGCGGGCTCCGAGGCTGGGCTGGCCAGAGAGATTGGACGTTCCCTGGATGCAGAATGCGTTGCAAAGAGAAAGTGAGTCACGGGACGTGCTAAGCATTAAGTCCGAGTCTGCGCGTGAAGCAGCAAAATATGAACCCCAGGAGAAGACAGGAGTAACACGGAGGTCTCTGGGGGAAACAGGGGAGTGAATGACCCAAAGTGTATGGCGATGTCACAATGCAGGGTCTACCTGTTTTGGACTACTGTTAAGATATTGCATGTGTGTGTGAGTGTGTGTGTTGGAGTTGCATCTTTTTGACAGAACTGCCAGATTCTGCAGACCCCCATGCCAGGGGCATCGGTGCGGATGTGTGCACGGGCGTATCAAAAAAGTCAAGATGGTGGTTGTGGCCACACCACAAAAATCTTGCTTTTTATCATGCACATTACACACCACATGTGTTGAAAGGGTGCGGGGCTTGGATTGTGGGGCGGCAACAGCGCTCTTGACTTTTTTGACCCTCTCCCCTCCCAGATGGCTGGGTGTCTTCCCCTTCCATCCTGCACTCTAAAACAAGTAGACATCTAGCAATTCAACCACCGCTTCCAGTCCTCACTCTGGCATCTTGTTGGAGAACATCATTTGCCCACGCCACTCCTGGTTTATGCGGTGTTGTGTCAAAGCAACTAAATCCCCCCAAGCAGACGTCGTAGAAAGAGATTATATACATTCTATGGAATTCCAATCCAGAAAACAGAACCAGCCAATTCAAGCCACTTGATAGCCACTATGAAACTTTTCAAAATATAAGAGCTTCAGAGCACCCTGCCAGATCAGGATAAAGGTCCACTTGGTTGAGCGTCCTGTTCCTTCCATGAAGACAAATGCCATCTTCTTCCCCAGTTCAGCGTTACACGGTTTCCAAATCTAGAACATGGCTGCCAACGGTCAACGGGAGGCCAATCCGGTCAAATGAATAGCCATCAGCGTATCCACTAAGGATATACTGGTTGGGTTCCCCCGCCCCAAAAATATCTGTTTGGAGGAATGGGGTAGTTGGCTGGTTGATTCAGTGTGTGTTTTGTGTGTGTGCGAGAGAGACCGAAAGAGGGGGAGAGAGATGTAATCTTTGCCTTAGACCAGTGGTTTTCAACCTTTCTGAATCGGCGGCACAATATTGAATATAGCTGTAGTTCTGCTTTATTAATACACACAGTGATACGAATAATTTTAAAGACTAATGTTCAACTGAAACCAGAACTTTTCTTGCTGGGACTAATGGACAGACAATTAGAAAAGAGCTAATGGAAGATTGGTTTTATATTTAGAGATTATTTTATGCACAAAAATGGAAAGAGTTTGAAATACCCATAATAGAGGAATGGCTGGTAAAGATGACAGAATTTGCAGAGACGGCAAAATGGACTTGTCTGATTAGAGAAAGGACAATAATCACATTTATTAGTGACTGGAAACCCCTGATGGACTTTTTGCTGGAAAAACAATGAATTTGTGATTTATGGGTTTGATGATTAGAAAGGGTAGACTATGGAAGGAAGGAAATTACGGTGTAACCTGAGACAGAGAAGGTAAAATATAAATGTACTTGTAACTGTTGTTAAGAAGACCAAAAGATGCTTCTTTATAACTTTTTCTTTTCTATTTCTTTCCTTGCACTTTTTTTCATTTAATACTTTTCTTTATTTTCTTCACTTTTTTCTTTTGAAATTTGTATTGTTTTTATTCTCTTAAAAATTGTTTTAATAATTATATATATTTATATAATATAGCAGTAGTTATATTATATATATATATATATATAATACAGCAGTAGTTCTGTGGCACACCAGAAAATTATTAACGGTATAAATGCATTTTTAAACATGTAAGACACGATTTGAGGGGAAGTTACACAATTTAAAAAAAAATATCTGAACTGTATTGAATACACCGATTACACCGATTATACATAATACAAAAAAACTATTGGAAAAAAAACATAAGGCAAAAATCTCGTGGCATGCTGGAAACAAGCCGATGGCGCACCTGTGTGCCACGGCACGCCGGTTGAGAACCAGCTGCATGAACCAGGTATGAACCTATGATGGTTTCCTTCCTGGGACAGAGCACTGTTATGTGAGCGCAGCCACTCTGTTTTGCTAACCTGGCTTTCGCAGGTTGTGCGAACGGAAAGCCACGCCAACCAGAAAATGCTCTTAGTCTGTTTTGGATGTATCACGGGCCCCTTTCTTTGAAGGCCCAAGAATTGTAGGGTTACGAAATGTCCCTGCCCTGGTCTCTGAGCCCAGCATCTCACAGGATTGTTCTGGGGACAAATGGGAGGAAGCACTATGAACAGGTAGTTCTTGGCTTATGACCATTCGTTTAGCGACTGTTCGAACTTACGATGCCACTGAAAAAGTGACTTATGACCATTTACGACCTTCCAAGCTGGCTGCTGACAAGCAAAACAACGGGGAACCGTGTGATTCATTTAACAGCCGCTGCAAACAAGTCGTAAAATCGGATGTGGTCATGGGATGCCTCACTTAATGACCACACCAGTTAATGACAAATTTTCCAGTCCCTATTGTGGTCGTAAGTCAAGGACTACCTGTACACTGTCTTGGGGTCCTGAAAGAAAGGCAGACTATCAATCTAACAATAAATAAATCACACACACACGCACGACCCTTGAATGCCCCTTAGTCTGATCCTTCTTTTCTGCAGTGGAACCCTTGAAAAGCCCCCCGAGATTTGCATGCAGAGCCCGCCTTGAGCACCACTGGAGGTAGAGGGAAGTTGGTGGGACTCGTACCTGTAGGTCCTCTTGAGACCAGGCACCGAGGCGATGCACAGGATCCGGGCGGAACAGACTGCGATGCAAGCCTCCACGATGGGCTCCTTCTTGATGCTGAGCAGACAAACCTGCCCGACGTAACCGTCGCTGTTGCAGACCCAGACCTCGTAGGCATTCTCCGGGTTGTTGTGGCTGGGGGAGGCGCAGGAGAACTGGAGGGAGGCAAAGCAATTCACCCTTAAGATCTTCACGGGCAAGAAGCAAAAGGGGGCAGTTTTCTTACTCATAAGCCATTCCAGTTAATCCAGCTCTGAGTGGCTCACACCCCTAAATTCAGTAATAACACGAAAAGCACAACGTAGCAAAACAATAGCAATGTGAGCAACACCAATGTCAGTTCCAAGGCACAATGACCAAAGCCAGGCGTCTCTGGATTAAAAGGCAACCAAGGTTTGCACCAGCCTGGGACCAAGGATGAAAAGGTTTTCCAGGAGAGGTCTCCTTTCCCTCCTGAATAAGCCAGATGCCACCCCAGGGATTTTGGATCTCTGGGACAGTAGGATGGAGCAGAGAACACCTGCCATTGTTATACCTGTCTTCCACAGACCTGCTAGGTTGGGTGGGTGGG